TTCTAATGTTTTTTTTTTACAGTTTGCAGAAGTTGCATCGTTAAATATTTGGCGAATAACAAGTATTGCCCGATCTGCGAGGTACAGGTTCACAAAAGTAGGCCGCTATTAAATATACGTCCCGACTATATGTTACAGGATATTGTTTATAAACTGGTACCTGGATGTTATCAAAGTATGCTTTTTCTTTAATGGGAAGAGACTCGACTTTCTTATCACATTAGGTATGATAACGATGACAAAAAATATTATTTCAGACGAGATGCGATGTCGGAGAGAATTTTATGCGAAACATCCAGAGGCGTGTAGTCAAGATGCGATGCCTCCGGAAGCTCGTGGAGAACCTGCAGACTCGCACATATATTCTCCGGATGAATCTCTCAGCTTGTCCCTGGAATACTATAATCCTTGTACAAAAGATTTAAATGAGACGAATTCTGGGAAATCCCTTTTAAGGCGATACTTTCGGTGTCCTGCAGCGGTTACTATATTCCATTTACAAAAACTAATAAGGGCCAAGTACGGCCTTGGTGATGCAAATAGAGTCGATGTAATGTACGAAGAGGAACCGTTATGCAGTAGTTATACATTAATGGATGTGATGTATATCTATCATTGGAGGCGGGTATGTATTCAATTCATTTAACGTTACGTTAATTTCATTAAGAGGCATACTTATCCACGCTAATACTATATTTATTATGTTGCAGAAAGTACCGTTACATTTAAGCTATAGGATATTTGAAACATCTTCGAAACGCCTGAAATTATCGGAAGACAATGCGAACTATAATAAATCGTTAATGGACGCTGGTATCGATTCCATAGATCTGAAGGACGAGAAGTCGTTGAAACGCGAGTGGAAAGAGGTGCAATTAAAAATATCGGAAACAGGTGTGATGAGCATAACCGATATATCGAGTACAGTAGTCAAGAGGGAGGCAGGAATTGAGAATTTGGAAGGTGAAAAAACTGGAGGGGAAACTATAACTTCCATTGCGGAAATTAATAAAGCGGATTCAGTGAAAATAGAAAATTGTGGTGTATCTAAGTCTTCTGTAGAAATAATACCGTCTACTTTGATTATTGACGCACAAATGACAAAGACTCCAATATTTTCTGAAACGAGCAACGCATTCCTCGTTACAAATGACATTAAGTTTACAGGCGACAATTTATCGACTAACTCGAATTGTACATCGCTAACTAATCAGCAGAATGGGACTGCAACGAGGCAGACAAGTGAAACGAGAAATTGCACCGCTTCTGCAAAACTGCAACAGGACGCACAAGAAGTAAAAATCCCCAATCAAAGCATTAAAGTCGAAGATAAATCGGAGACGGTTTCGCAAGGGCAAAAAAGCATTGGTCACTCAGCGACGCAATTTACGGAGGAGAACGTAATTGTTATTGAAGACACGGAAAAGACAGATGCGCATGCGAAAAAAATGTCGATAAATAACAACAACAATAACGCAGATTTCCAGGCCGAGACTCAGAAGGAATGCATAAAAAGTTCGAACGAGGCAAAGATGGGAAGTGCTGGATCGAAAATTGACGCGTTAAGCGTAAAATTACAATTTCAACCGAAAATGGGTCAAGTTAATAACACTTACTCCAAGAGAGCGCCGAAGGAGAAGCGAGCGACTCTTCAACAACAAAGTGCGAAGAAGTCTGACGTTAAGTCATCGACCGAAGACACAAAGCTTACTGACGCGAAAGCGCAAACGAACTGCGGGAGTGTAACGGGTAAAGTATCAATTTCGACGGCGACTCCTTCGCAGAAGTCAGCGTCCGCGTCCGCGGTGGCGTCTCAAAATACTTCGAACTCTTCGTCCGGATCTGACAAGCAAAAAGCTCCCGACGAGAGGGATAATCAAAGTATAAACATCGATTTGCAGCAAGCTTTGAATTTGCTGGAGCAAAGAAACTCACCCGTACAAACGTCGACGGAATCTGTCCCGAGAACGAGTCACGCCGCCGACGTGGCCAATCAGAGATTACAGAGCAACAATATAGCGGCGGTGAATGAGAACATCGCGTCCACCGTACCGAACGTTTCCACATCCACGATCAGTCAGACGACGTCGACGTTCCCTTACACGCTTCACGACATCGTGACCAACTCGGCCGTTCTGAAATCAGCACTAAATTCCAGCAGCATACCTCAGAAACCGTTAGGGACGCCTTCCATTGCTTGTTCAACGTCCAACAACCAAATGTGCCCGTTGCCTCAGTTCAACGTGCAAACGTCATCCATAAATGTGTATTCCATACCCACGTCGCTGAAGAATAACTACGGTAACGTCGGTCAGGATGTAAATACCGTGACGGCCATGTCAACAGCAACGATCACAACGACGGCAATGTCGAAACCGATGTCAACATCATGCCCGATACCTCCGTGTCCGGACGCGATCCCCATATCGCTGATGAAGCAGATGTCCATGCGCAAGCAGGACGTGACCGCGAAAGGTACCAATCTGAATGAGATTTGCGCGAAAATCGGCTCCAACACGATTGGCTCGAAGATCAACGATATCTGCGCGAAGATAGGGGAGAACTCGAAGGAGAAGAACAGAATGGACGCGCACGGTAAAGCGGACGTGCCGGATCTGCTTAGAATAAGCGGTAAGAAGAACTCTACGCCGTTATTGCCCAATTCGGACACGGCGATCAAGCATATACCGAACATCCCGAACGTTCCGGTGTATACACCGAGCAGCAACGCGGCGACGATGGAAAATAAGAGCTCCAAGCCCGCTTTACCTACGTCTACGTCCGCCGGTGCGCTGGCGGTGCCGACGTCGTCGGCACCGGCGTCGTCCCACGCGACCCAGAGACTGGCGCTCCTCACGAAGCAGAGAACGGTCGGGTACAAGACCCTGCGCGACCCGCCCAAGTCCTGGAATCCCACGTTGTCGAAAAACAACTACGTGGCGGCGAAGAATCAGGCGAAGGAGATGCAGAATCAGGCACAGACCTCCGTATCCGACGGCGCGAACAAGCAGATCCCGTCTAAGCCGGCCAAGATCTTCAAGATGCGAAACATGCCGCGGTACCTGGGCAATCCCGCGTCAGGCGTGAAACCCATGTACGGGGTGACGAACGACACGAAGGAGAAGGAACAGTCGACGGCCAACGCGAAAAGCGCCACCCTCAACATGATGAAGATCGATCCCAAAACCCTGTCGCCCATCGTCTCGACGATCAACTCGCCGATCGTCTCGCCGCCGCCTTACTCGCCGAACGCACGAAGCTATCAGAACACTCCGTTCTCGCGGGACATATGCCGGAACACCGGCTCGCCCATATCGCCGAGGAACTCCCCGGTAAATATGCTGTCGACCAATCCATTCATACCGTCTCCCACGCCCAACACGAATCCCCGGATCATATATTCTCACTTTCCACCCCCGTTCCCAGATGCCAGCCGATTCCCGAATCCCCTGATACGGTCGCCCATCGGCATCCCGCCTCCCAGTGCCTTTCACAGCAGTCTACCGCCCTCGATCAACAAGCTGTACCAACGGTCGAGCTACATCCCGCAGACCACCGGTTACGCGCCGGTTGTCGGCCAGCCGCCGGCGGTACAGAGAATACCACCTAGCACGCACTCGTCCTCGCCGAAGTCGCCCAAGGCCTCCTCGCCGAGCTCGATCTCCTCCGCATCGTTCAATCTCGGGAAAACGGAGTCACAGTCGCCGATCACGTCGACGGTGGACAGCGTCGCGCTGCTGCTCTCTAAGAGCGTGGCCGTGCCGGTATCGATGCCGGTGCCGGTGTCCGTGTCGCTGCAACGCGAGCTAAACGCGTTCAATCTATCCAAGACCGGCGGCTTGTCGCCGAGTTCGACTTCCAACGTCGTCAAGACGTCAACCGCGAGCGACGCTGACGTCGAGGCGCAGCCGAAGCCGAACTCCTCCTCGATGTCGATGTCGCTCAATTTGCCGACGAGCGCGGAGACACCCGAGAACTCGTCGAACGGCACCAATGAACGAAAGCAGGGTAAGGAGACGGAAGCGCGGAAGGCACAGGAGGCCGCGCGATGTAAAGAGGACAATTCCAAAGCGAAGCTTACGGAGACGAGGTGCAGCGTCGAGACCGCTGAGAACGCTGCGAGCCTGCATGACAAAAGGGAGAGGAGCCAAGCGGCCAAGATCAACGGCGACGTTACAACGGAACAAATCGCGAGTAAGAAATCTAAGGAGGACGGTAGTAGCGACGTGACGGCGACGAAGGCGGAGGCGACCGAACGAGACGGCCAGGTAGAACGGCCCTCGTCCAAAGAACGGAATAATATTCCGAAGAATAGCACTCAAGTCAATATCAACGACTCGCCGGCGGACGATTCCAAGAACGAAGATCTCGGCAAGAGCGGTGAGCAGATACAGGGTAATAAATCTGAAGTACAAAAAAGTAAAGCGGAGACGTGATCGTGAGATAAGAAGGATTAATCATCTTTAGATGCGAGTTGCAAAAGGTCTCGCTACGCGTATTTGGTGGCATTTAATTCGGCACAGTGCGGCTTAAGTGTAGAATGAATCCTGTAACAAGCTTATACACGGCCCATGTTCTGACGTTTACTGCCGGTGAATCTAGCATTTCCAACCGCACGATTGAGTGTGTGTATGCGTATGCATATTGTATACATGATACATGTATACATACAGAGTGATTCGTATAAAGTAACCGATTTGATTATTAGCAAAATTTGAAGACGTATGAAAAAGTAGCCCGAAAGAATACTGTCGTAACTAAAAAAAGTTTTGATTTTGAGTTAAGCCCATAAAAAGTGCCTAAAATTATCTATGTTATGATAGTGTCACAAGTCTACATGCGAAATACGTTGCACGGGGCTACAGTGTCGTTCTTCTTTTGAGCCAGTTATATTCGCGATTTCTTGAATAATAGTATTGTAAGCTAAGTGACAAGTGAATCACGGTAGACCGCTTCAAGAAACGGTATATAAGTTATGTTAGGCTGTTTTTTTTATTGCTGTGCTGGACTGCACTAGAACTTTCCTTCTCACTTTCGCCAAATTGCAAATGTATACCTAGTTCACTTCAAGTACAGAGAGTGTTCACTAGTAAGCAATAGAAATTAGATTATAACAAAATATCATAATTGAAATTGCGTTAGTCATTTCACAATTAAAAAAAATTGAATTAAATTTGTTTTTTCTCTCCCCTGAAAATCGTGAATTGTTGAGTAGCGACAGTATTCTTTTCGGGATGCGATATAGTGGAAACGATTACTGTTAATTTTATTATTATTATTTTTTTAATGGAATGCTTTTTATTTTATAGTCCAATAGCCCTTTTTAAGATAAGTTTAATGATTACTATATGAGGGCATTAAAGGTCAGTCGAGGTGTGGTATATATATATATACACACACACATACACACACTTGGATATTTATAAAAATTGTGCTTATGCCATCTCTGCCGGCGCATTACGAAAAATGTCAGAAGATAAGCTGGTTATGAAGCTGGATGCCGATAAGTTTTTACAACATGTGCATCATGTAAGGAGCAAAGAGCACTTATGACCATTGTTGAAGATGTTTCACGACGTGTTAGAAATCTGTATATTTCTGTAAATAGCAATCGCAAAAGATCTAATTATTTTATATTATAAATGAGTTATTATGACAAATATGTTGAATATATTATTTTATAAGTGTACGTTAATGATATAATTATGAGATCGTCTGAATTTTCATACGCATATCTAACTTTGATATTAACGTTATTGACGTTAATCCACCATTGTTACTGTACTTGCATACATGTATAGATGTGTATCTAAGATCCCACTTTTATTCCCTATGTCTCTCCCATATATTTGTTTTTTATTTCAAATGAGTTTCAAACCGATTTCTGTTTAACGGACGTTCGTAACTCTTTGCCACCGCGATCTTTAGCCATTTCTATGATATTATTCGATATTGAATACAATGATTAAATTGTTAAACGGTATTTTATTAAAATATGTGAAACTATTTTGATACGCCACGATCATATATATCGTTTCATAGTATGAAAAAAAGCAGTGAAATATGTTTCAAGTGGGACAGTCTCTATGTCATGTTTTTCTTACTTCGTTACACATATATTACATATTGCAACATAACGAAACATATATAATATAATTATTTTTTTTCACAGATACGAATATAAGTTGTGCACTGAGCACTTGGAAAACAGGTTATCTGTAAAGTTATATATTTAAATCAACTATATTATTTGTATCTTTTAGTGCATATGCTTGCTGTTAATTTGTTAATAGCGTTATGTATAATGCATTATAATGTCTTAATAACATATAATGTGCATTCTTGTGCATATTAAACGGATGCAAGTTATTCCTTAGCGTTAAGTAACTAAAAGTGTTGCAATCACTTTTTCGATAAATAATGTAATTACGGAAAAAAAACATGTTTATGGAACGTGTGAACACATAATTATTCATAGTAGGAAGAGAGTACCCATACACACACGAGCACATTAGATATGTGTATAAAAAAGTATTAAGTATAGTTGATCTAATTAAATTAATAATAATGTTACCTAAATTTAAATTATACATTTTTATATCATATAAGATTGATGAAAAAAATTTATATAGTCTGGCAGCGTTGAATATTTTTGAAAGGCCCTTTATTTATGTATATTAAAAGGAATTAGGATTGTACTATATTTATATATATATGATGCAATAATGTTTCTGAGAAACAATTTTATTTCCAATTTTAATATTTTTTTTTAGATAATATTATACATCTTTGTACAACATTAAGGATGTTCTGGACGGTTTGTCAAAATGCTACGAAGTTGATGAAAATTTAATATCATGTTCTGCATCCTCTTTCAAAATATCGAGGCTAAATTTCAGATCGACTCACAATTTAGATAAAAAGTTATCAGTTGTTTAATATCCGAGTTTTACAGAGAAAAGTGTAAACATTAAAAAATGCTACCAATATAATATTTTACACATAAGTAGCAACAAAATTTGAAACTATTTGCCCCAACTATTTATATGCATTTTTTGTCTTTAGATCCCTGGAGAATTAATATCGATGTTTTTAATATTTCCTCCATACTTTTGGTTGGGTCGGTGCCTCCGGAACATCCTTAATGTGTATTTAATGCAATATCGGTTAAAGTATGTAAAAATAAAATTCAGTTTACATGTCATTTTGTACAATCGAGAGCCAAAATGCTATCTTTTTTTCGACGTAGAGAGATTGAATTGCACTTGGATGGAGCTTTTTTTCTCTTTAGTAGATCAATCTATCGTTGAATAAAAAAGCACAGCAAGAAGGAAAAAAAGAGACTAGTAGAGGAAAAAGTTCGAAAGCACTTCTATTTGCTATTTGAATCGATAGCATTTTTGCTTTCCACTGTATCAATTAGTGATCTGTAACAGATAATAATTTTGGAAAAACGAAAATTAAAATGGAATTAACGATTTAAAATTACTCTTGTTATCGAAGTTATACAACTATATAAAATGTTATCAGTTAGAGTATTCATAATTACTAGAGCACATTCTATTTTAATTAAATTTTAGGTTTCTCACTTTCAGACCAATCCAGTATCAAAACGAAAGTAATATAATTTTCGAGGGTAATTTTGAAAATATTCGAAGAGACTGCTAATGGTAGTGAAATGTCCGAGGCCTTATCCTGTCATATATCGAATAATTAATATGGAACAATAAAAATGATAAAATGTATATGCGATATGATTACGACAAAAAAATTAGTTGACAATTAAATACTGTGATCATTACGTTACTTCATCTTAGATGAAAAAGATATTTTAACAAAGCAAAATTATTAGTCGTAAATGCATAATATTTTTCTGTCTCTCTTTCTGTCTTTCCTCTCCCTCTTTCTTCTCCTCCCCCTCTGTTCTTTCTGCGTTTTATTTCTCCCTCTATTTTCTTTCAACTCTATTCATCTAATCCATATGTTTCTTCATTTTTAATAGTATATTTATGCATTGTATTGTCCGTTTATACGATTGTGCGCATCGATGAAAAAGCAAACAAACGTGAATTGAGAGAAGCATCAACAAAGTAAAGTTTTAAATAATTTTTATGGTTGGAGATCAATTTCTCTTAGATATGCTAATTTTATTTGTATATAGTGTACTACGATTATAAAATATATATTACATAGTAATAGAGAAAGAATTACTAATTAATATAATTATATATTTAATTAAAAGGATATAACCACACAGCATGTATCTTTCCGTCGAAACAAAAACAAATTTTTAGATAAATACTGGGCTGCAGAATAGAAAATATATTGTATTTTTAATCAGTTTTTATATATGTGTACATGTGTGTGCATATACATGTATAAACATATAAAAGTAATAATTCTATATGGAATTAGAAGATATTCTCTTCGCTAATAATGCAAAAATATAATTGACTGCACCTACATAAAACTGTATTATTAATATAGAACATTTCTCCTTCATATATACAAATCGCTGTCAAAGCAAAGTTGAAGAATCTCTAAATTGTACATTATAATCGTCTATCAGATCTATATATTGGATATTTTTTCAATGTGTCTTACAACATCCTTCAGCTTGTGCACCAACTCTTGCAGCTGTTGTACTGTACACGTAAATGTTACATGTCTCATTTGATTGCACTCTTTTGTACTCACTCGTATGTTATAAATTGGTACGTTGGTAAAACGAGTGCTCATCTGCAAACAATACAATATTTAATTATACATATATACAGATTACATAATGTAATTCACGAAAAATGTTTATATCGTTGAAATTACATTGTATGAAGTAATAGGATCAACGTAGCATCGTTAAAGGATAATGAATTTACCTTAACGCAATGATGTAAACGCCAATCTATGTCCACTACGTGCGGTAAGTTATTTCCTGTCAATTCCAATTGAGTCTGGATATTTTCCTTGTTGTTTATGTACCTACTACATAGCGTTTCAATTCTTTGCCCATTGATATGTTCATTTTGTAGGAAATGTTTCAGACTTTCTTCATCATAGTCGTGTCGAGCAGCCTCTATGAAGAGGCAAGATATATTGGCGAAAGCAGCTTTTATCAGATCCGACTTGGATGGATATACATTAGCGACAGCAGCTACAAAAGATGTAATTAATTATATAAAAATTTGTATTTCAAATACTTTTATATTGAGATAAACCATATAGTGAGACCTACTTACTTTTTCCGTTGCTAACGTTCTTAGAAATATGCAACATTATAATATCTAATAATTGTAGAAACGTTTCTTCGGGTAAGACATTGCTATTTTGGATGTTTGCTACGCCGTCGATAATTTCCTTTGCTAATTCCATCTCGACATAGTATAGTATCAATTGTTCTCATCAAATCTATAGCTTGTGCACATGTACTCCAACAATTTGAATGATTTAAAATTTAAATCAAATCTTTGAAAATCATGAGGACTGATTAATGTGTTAGGGACGTTGTTTAATTACAGTCGATGGTTTTGCCTAAAATAGAGATAAAACAAAAATTAGATTAATTAGTATTAAGTAATTCTTTATAATAATAAGTATTTTATATAGATATTTCATATAACCATGCCTCACATTTACTGAAATGTCAGAAAATTGTAATATCTCACCCTTTTTCGAAAGGGATTTAAATTAAAATCCGTCTGAACATCACCCACGTCGGCCACATCTGAATTTCAACCACGAGGTTTGTGTTTTAACACTAGACTGCATTAGAATAATAAAAAAGCACAGTATACATTGAGACAATCCATGGAGGTTAAGGAGTAAACACCCCTGTCAACTTGTCGGCGCGGGGATGAGGCACTGGTGGGGAGGGGGATTGAATCGTCGGCCATGTTTTTATGGACCACTCGTGCTGCTGTCTACTGGACATTATTTGGAATTTTCAAGTCAATCCAATGATCCAAATACACACATGGTAAGTAGTCAAGTCCGAATGTAAGCAGAAAAAGTGCGTAATAAGTATTGGCACAATTTTGGAGCTAAACTAAAGCTGTTTGTATAGCGGAGCTAATTGCATACAGCTCTCTTTAGAAGCTGTATATTATTTCTCATACTTTATTTTAAAATGTCTCTTTCTGTATTACCAAATTATTAAGCAGATGATACAGCTAAGTATCGATAGGTGACACCACGAGTGGCACTGATCTCCCTCCCCAAGTCCCCAAGTTCCACGTGGTCCCCAGTCCCCACCAGTGCTTCACTCCCATTGGCCGCGTTCAGGAAACACAACTGTTGAGTGAGCGCTCATTATGATTGGTTCTTACACTTAGATCCGGAGTAGAACCAAAGGTAAGAACCAATCACATTAAAAGAATCACTGACCGTTCACTCAACAGTTGTGTTTCCTGAATGCGGCCATTCATTAGAGAGTCCCCCATTCTTATTCACCCCCTCCAGGTCACTCTTTCAACCCCATTTCACTGGCACCCCGTGCCCATGGCCTGTGCTCGCATTGCTCGCAGCACCCGCAGTCTGGCACGTTGTATAGAAGTCTGTAGAAGTGTGTGCTCACCACGTGTTCCCGCTTCTCTCTTTCTTGATTTTTTATTTTATATACAGAAAAAAAATCAAACCTGCTTCGCATGAACAATGGGTGAGTATAAAAATCGATTAGTTTTTCCGATTAATT